GAACGAGGGTTAGAGAGAGAGAGGAGAGATGATGAGGAGGGGAGAGCGGGAAGAGTGAGAGAAAGAGAGAGAGAGAGCGAGACGAATGAGGATGAGATGAGAGAGACGCGCGCGCTCACACGAATTGCACACAAATGAAGAATAAAAAACAATTGGTAACATAATAACTAAATTCGGCGAAAGAAGCATTTCCGATGTTTTTCAGACTTTCCCTGTAGCACACCATTACTATGTTTATGATTTTTCATACTGCTCGTGATACTTTCGAATCAACACGTATTATATAAAACCAAGATATCTATCGATTGTTGGCTAGATGTGCACTGCAAAGTCATTACAAGTAGATCGAGCGATTTTAAAGTAAAATTCTATCTATCGAATAAGTATAGCTACGGAAGTGTTAGGTCGAATTTTCCCAGATACGCGCCATAAGCATTTAACGTAACGTACACAAATAAACGCTGAGCAAAGAAGTCGGATTAACGTAAATCACCAGTAACGAGCGTGTGCTGGTGGTACGCCACCCGACACGTGTCTTGATGAACGAACCAAATTGCCATTAATCACATTTGCAATCAATGAAACGATGATTTGCATCACTCGGTGAGTAGATCTCACTTATACAGTAAGACAACGCGCGTATAACAGTGCGGCAAACCAACGCACGCACGCATGCAATGCCCGCACGCAGAAGAGCAGAGAAGAGAGAGAGAGAGAGAGGGAGAGAAGACGAGGAGAGAAGAGAAAGAGAGAAGAGAAGACAGACAGGAGAGAGAGAGAGAGAGAGAAGAGAGAAGAGAGAGAGAAAGAGAGAGATGCATTCGACAGGAGAGAGACGAGGAGAGAGAGGAGAGAAGAGAGAGAGAGAGAGAGAGAGAGATAGGAGAGAGAAGAGAGAGAGAGAGAGAGAGAAGAGAGAGAGCGAGACAGAGGAGACGCGGATGGAGACGAGAGAGAAAGACGGAGCGGACGCTAGAGAGCGCTACGAGAGCTAGAGACAAAGACCAGAGACGGAGAACAGATAGAATATAGAGAGAAAGCAAACCAGAGACAGGGACAGAGACAGAGACAGAGATTAGCAGACAGACAGCGGACAGACAGAGACAGAAGAGTGAGAGAGAAGAGAGAGGAGAGAGGAGAGAGAGGAGGACCGGAGAGGAAGAGGAGAAGAAGACGAGAGAGAGCGAGAGGAAGAGGATGAGAAGAGAGAGAGAGAGAGAGAGAGAGAGAGCGAGAGAGCGGGAGAGAATAAGAGAGCGAGAGATAGATAGATTGATAGAGAGAGACTAGTGGACGGAGAGCTAGAGAGAGATACTACACAGTCGCACGCACGGGTGTAGTTAAGAATTTATGCGCGCGCAATGAAACATGCATGAGAACTGTAGTGAAACAACTTATTCTCGTGGCTACGTATAAACGATCAATACGTCATCCCAGCAAAACTATACCACCCACTTGTTTACTTTAGCGTGGAGGGATAGCCGGAGCTCGTTCAGAATCAGTTTGATGTAGCGCAAAAACTCGCGTTGAAATTACAGTTGAGGTCGCTAAAGATGCGTGTCAGCAATTACACTCAAGTACACGTTTCAATTCATTGTACTTGCATCTCATCTGAACATTTTAACAAGGCCGTGGCTACGCGTCCGGTTACCGGACGCCCAGCTCCCAGGCTACGCGTCCGGTCATATATTTCTTATGTGAACCCAACTATATTTTTTCAGTAAAAAACAATAAACAATAAGTTTTTATCATAATATTACTCACCTTTAGGTATTTTATGAAAAACATTTTTTTTTAACTTTTGAAGCAATATCCAGTAAAATCAACGATTTCAAAAGGGGCGTGGCCTAATCGTGACGTGGATTTGGGAATCTGTGCTAAGCTTTGTAATGTATGACCGGACGCGTAGCCACTGCGTTTTAACAAAGCTTCGATGTTTTTATCACGAGAGCTCGCGCATTAAACTTGACAACGTCCTCGGACTATATGTTTAGCATCAACGAGGCTACAGCAGTCACCCAGTTCCTAGTGGCAAACACCCGCTCCATCCCTTGTAAGTTTTGATTTTAATGTTTAATATACTTCGTGTCGCGCACACGAGTCTACCTACGCTTCTTTCAATCGACGTCCGACTTACTTTACTACTTTACTTCAAATCGAACACCGAACAGTCGAACCTCCAAAGACATCCTGTAACGAAATGAATACATTTACAACAAGCAGGAACTCGACAGGCGAAGTCGGTTTGTATATACCTGCGCTAAACATCTTCCGACGCTTTTGAGGAAGAAGTAGTCGCGCGGTACTATGTCGTAACCTAGCTGTGCCTCGATCTCATCTCGCAGAGTGTGAACGGTTGTCTCCGGTAGTGCCCTGTAACACGCAAGATACGAGTCAATCGCACACACAGTCGCACTAGAATGGTTTCCTTAAACATCCGAATTACATAATCCTCATCCAGAATAGTTTTCCTCGTACATAATCACGGTACAGGGATGTAGATTCGAATCTACGACGATCGGGAAATCCATGGCCTCCGCTAAAAATAGACAAACCGCAGTGATCCCTGTCGGGGGGATATTATTATTATTATTATTATTATTATTATTATTATTATTATTATTATTATTATGGGATCCGGCAGAAAATATCGTAGTTCAGGCACAGAATCTCTTTATCCCATTCTGGAATTTTTACTATCTTTAGGTTTTACCAGATCTAACATTCTGTCCCCGTCCCCTGTCCACTGTTCCGAATCTTCGTTTGACACACACCGTGCATGGCGGCCATTGGTGGTGAGAAAGTGTTTACACTAGGTGCCGGGCAGCATCGCTTATCAGGCGACATTGATTTTCAGCGGGCGACAATGGTTATTTCATGGTAGGCCTACGTGACAAGTTCTAGACTACTTACAGTGCAGTAATTTTACAAGCATATAACAATATATATATATATATATATATATAATACATATATTTTATATATGTGGATACGTGCAAACACACCGATTTCGATTTAGAAAAGTATTGACATGCACAGTCGCTAATGCGCTGAAGCCGTTGCAAATATAAATGTCGCCTTTTATGGTAGCACATGCGCGAGAAAGAGCGCATGCAGGTAACCCACAAACATGACCAGGAAAAACTAGTTTTTTTCAGTAGAAAGTTGAAACAGCGGGCAAACAGCCACTTGTGCTTTTTTCGAGAGTGGAAATGAGAGGATGTGGGGTGTGAGGGGCAGTTGAGAGTAAAAGGTGGAGTAAGGAGCAAAGGCCAGTTGCAGCATTTCAACAGCGACATACTTCTTCGACTTCTCTAGCGCGTTAAAACAGCAACGAATATTGACTCCATCTTGAAATGAGCGCTCACAATGTATGTAACATCTTCTTAGTCGCATGCAAGAGTTTCAAGAACTTAAATATACCATTAAAAATGAAACTACGTGCGCAATTAAAACATTTCAGCGAAAGGATGCACCGATTAACTTGATGATGGTTATCTATCGCTATTGATCGTACGTAAACCGTTTTCTCACATAACCCTTACATAACACCTCATTACAACCACCGACAGCCACTGTTATAGTAAGTATATATATATTATATATATATATATATATATTGTACGCGTGAATATCACTATACGCATAAATAGGTTACCGCCGCGGCATCATAACACCCTATCAGCATCGCATCGCACACCGTATACTATATTTCATATCGATGCGCGCATCTAGGACATCGGCGAGAGCTTCGCGAACTAATTAAAACGCCGGGGACCACGGAAGCGATCCCGAGCGTTCCTCGCCAAATAACTCAGGCGCGCGGTACGGCACCCGCACGTATAGCGTGCGTGTCGGCCGTGTTATCAGCCAGACCGCGCGCTAGGCTCTCCGTAATGGTGTTGTATTCGTTTCATATTCGATTCAAATTCATGATCGATGCGTGAATCGAATGATTCGATGGCATCATCGATGCGTGAATCGAATCATTCGATGCGTGAATCGAATGATTCGATGGCATTCAGTCTCGATTCACGGATCGTAATCATTCGAGTTCACGCATCGAATCATTTGGATTGCACGCATCGAATCATTCGATTCACGCATCGAAAATGATTCGATGCATCATTCCGATGCGTGAATCGAATCATTCGATTGCGTGAATCGAATCATTCGAATGCGTGCAATGCGAATCATTGCGATGCATCAATTCGATTCACGCATCGAATGATTCGATTCACTGCATCGAATCATCTTGCGATTCACGGCATCGAATCATTCGATTCAGCGCGCCATCGAATGGATTCGATGGCATCATTTCGATGCGTGAATCGAATGATTGCGATGGGCGTGAACGAACTCATTCGATGCGTGTAATCCGAATGATGCGATCGTAAGTCATTCGATTCGCGCGATTCGAAATCATTCGATTTCACGGCATCGAATGATGCATCGAATGATTCGATGCGTGAATCGAATGAATTCTATGCGTGAAATCAGAATGAATTCGATGCGGTGATCGAATGATTCGATGGCGTGAATGCGAATGATGGCATCGAGATCGATTCGATTCGCGCATGCCGAATCATTCGATCACGGCAGTCGAATCATTGCGATTCACGCCATCGAATCCATTCGATGGCATCTATTCGATGCGCGTGAATCGAAATGGAATTGCGATGCGCGAATCGAATGATTCGAGCATCATTCGATGTCACGCCCCATCGAATCATTCCGATTCACGCATCGAAATCTTTGAATTCGACGAGCATCGAACATTCGACTTCACGCATCGAATGATTCGATGCATCATTCGATGCGTGAATCGAATCAATTCGATAGCGTGAATTCGAATCATTCGATCGTGAATCGAATGTCATTCGATGCGTGATATCGAATCATTCGATGCATCATTGGCGATTAAGCATGCGAATGATTCGTATTCAAACGCATCGAACATATCGATTGACAACTGGCATCGATCATTCGATTCAACGCATCGAAATGATCGAATGCAGCATTCGATGGGCGCTGAATCGAATTCGATTCGATGCTGAACGAATCATTCGATGCGTGGAATCGAATGATGCATCGCAATCATTCGATATCCTACTTGCATCGAATGATGCATCGAATGATTCGATCGTGAATCGAATGATTCGATGCGTGAATCAATAATATGCGAGTAAACGAATGTTATATGAATATCGACATGTTATACGTGTGATAAATCGAATGTTAAATGGCGATAAAATCAACCATAATAACAAAAACGAATATGACAGCAAACAACATGCCATACTCCGCGAGACGCTCACGCAAGGGGTTGACAAGCTAAGCTATCGGGCAGCTGGCATAGATCGGTGGAGAGAGAGAGGGGGGAGGGAAACGATACAGAGAGAGAGAGAGGTAGATGGAGGGGAGGAGAGAGAGAGAGGGGAGAGAGACAGATGGAGAAAGAAGGGGGGGAGAGAGAGGCGAGAGAGCGGTGAGAAGAGCGGAGAGAGGGGGAGAAAATAAGCGAGAGAGAGAGAGAGAGAGAGAGACGAGAGAGAGAAGAGAGAGAGAGAGAGAGAGAGAGACAGCAGACGGAGACGAGACGGAGACGAAGACAAGAGGAGAGAGACGAAGAGATGAGAGAGAGAAGAGAGAGCAGACGAAGAGAGATAGAGAGAGAGAGAGAGAGAGAAAGGGGAGAGAGAGAGAGAGAACGGGGAGAGATAGAGAGAGCGGAGAGAGCGCGAGAGGCAGGGACAGCGAGAGAGCGAAGAGAGACGAGAGAGAGTAGAGAAAGCAGAGAGAGAGGAGAGAGAAGAGAGAGCGAGATTCGACTACTGTGCCGGGAGAGAGACGAGAGAGACGAGAGAGACGAGAGAGACGAGAGAGACTGAGGGAGAGACGAGAGAGACGAGAGAGACGAGAGAGAGAGAGAGAAAGAGCAGAACACACATCGACAGTAAATTAGTGGGCTTTAGTACGGCCGGCCGAGGTTATTGCCGAACTCTCGAAAGTGAGTAAAGATTACGTGTATTTTCATGTCGCCGTTGGCCACATTGAGTAGGGCAGAAGCAATTGCAACTCAACGCCCCCCACTCATCACAAACTACGACAAATACCATCACTTCAATATATATATATATAACGACCAGCTCACACGCCGCGCACGCACGCACAGACGCACGTACACACATACATACACACACATATATATATATATATATATAGCAACATTCATCGCAAGATAAAACAGCCTATGTACGCATAAGGACCGCAATTTGTGACTTTCGTTAGCGTTAACCACCTGCTGATGACACATGCACTCACACCGTGCTAATTGCCAGTGCTATGCCGAACGCGTCACCACCACTCGGGGTGACTCGCGCATTTCCTCACATCGATCCGCGATGATTCAGTCTTGAAGGAAAAGAAACTTGGCAACGAACTTGCGCACGTTGATTTTTACAGTGGATATTTTCTCATGATGTAACAGAGCTTCAACAGCGCAAGCAAAAGACAACAAATAAAAGAACGCAGGAAAATATGACAACGACGGATAGAATAAAGAAGCTCAAAATGCGTTTATGACACGCCTTGCGAGGTCACAGCGTAAAACATCGAAAAAAATCTTTTTAGTTTACAATCCAATAGCGGCATTGCAGATGAATGCATTTATAAACTCAGGTCTTTTAATAATAATGTGTTTTTGCCACAGCCTATTGCCCGTTTCTACGCGCGAAGATAGGAGTGGATATATATAGGAGTATAGTAGACATATTAAGAACTACACTGTTTTAAGTTTAAATCATTCACTTGGCTATAAAAGTTTTGTTAATTATAGTTTTTAGCCACCAAAATCAAATGTACAAAATGAACATGTTTAGATTTTATCGTATACCATTCATTTCTTAAAACTGAATACATATATCTTAATATTGGTAATTCGCCAATGCGACTACGATAAACAATATCAACAGCGCTACAATAGCCAAACGTTGCCCCCTAAACAGTATTATACATTGCCTTATACGTTAGAATGTAGGAGAAACCATCCATGTTTGAAATATAGGCGATTTGATATGACGCTAATGAGGCCTTAAACGTCCATGCAGCGACACTAACCATCGTATGTGCGCTACTAAAAGCTCATACATTAACGCGTGGCATTAACCAAACAACGCGGCTACTCTAAGCAAAATACTGACTAGTACGGATTTCCAACCGATGCTCTCTCGCGGGTGATTTTTTACGAATAACCACATAACTACGATTCTCATTCATACTCGCAGACCTCGTTAATAATTAAGCAGCGTACAGCGTCTTTTACTCGCGGGTGAGG